TCCAAAGTGTCCTGTATTCTGTTTGATCCTTAAATCACATAAGTGGAACTTCCAGATAATGTCATTTTTCATTTTTCCTAATACCAATTTACAGATTGTATCCCAGGCTCCCCAGAGAAGCAGAACTTGCCAAGTATGCTTGTCATTTCTTCTAATTAGGTTTTTAAATAAATCAAAGAACTCTTGTTTTCATTTACCTTGGATTATACAGCGACAGTGTTCTTGTTCACACTGCCCATAGAGGCAATCCCCACTGAAAGGACACTGAATTCCAGACACTCCAAAGGCTTAGGAGCTTTCCTCCTCTCCTCTTTACTGAGCATTCCGTTCTCCCACCCTTGGAGAAGAAAATAGGATGGCCTTACCTGTGCCCTGTTGCCTCTCCCAGTTCTCCCTCCTACCAACATGCCCTGTAGACTGAGCTCTGTGTCTGAAAGGGAGCAAGAAGGGAGGATGCAATTCTTCTTGCCTTACTTGCTCTTTGCCTGATTCCCAACCCTTCCTTGGTTTCTATTCCTTGGCCTGATTCTTTGAATCTGGGATCAACCAAGGGGCTAAGCAATCAGTAGGAAGAAGACAGCTAGGCCAGAACTTGATGCCCATTCCCCCAGCCCCATCCTCCCCCCATCTTTTTCTGGTTCTCTGCTCCATCAGGCCCCTTCCCCAGACTGCCTTCTCTGCCTCCTTCCCTGCTCCCAGGATTGGGTTCCCAACCCTTCCCCGGCCATTCATCCTTTTATCACTGTGGCTCTATTGCAGAGATGGAGCTAATGGAAGCAGTGATTCTTTGCATTAAGTCTGTGAGCCCAAGCCTGGGAACCCTGTCTGGGGAGAGATGCTGCGAGCCCAAACTGTGTTTGGCCAGCAGCAGGCTCTGGTCTCTAAGTTCTGCTGAAGCAGGGAGACCAGGAAAGTGTTGCCCTGCCAGCTCTGAGGATTCTTGAGTATTTCCTCCTCCTCCTCTTCTTCTGATCTCTGGTGGTTAAACCTGTGGATGTCTGTGGGGATGAGGGTGGGGGGTGTATCCTTATAGGAGAGAGAAGGTCAGCAGGCAAGATAATTTGCTTCATCTTCGGGGAGAAATAAGGTTTGGTATATGCCTTATCGGGAAGGGGCACAGCCAGCCTTGTTGTACATGTTTCTTGGGGGTCACAGTTCACACTATTAGGGGTAACAATTCAGTTGCCTTGGACACTAAGAAGCCCCAGCCTTTTTACAAATCATAGGCCTGTGCAGCTGGGTCTTGCTTCCCTTCCCTCCTTCCTCTGTCCTCTCTTCATTCTGTCAAACTCTGTTAACTACCCCCAGATATTCATTGCTGCTTAGGGAAAATCACACCTCTGGCTCAGAGGAAGAAAATACAGCTTTCTTGGGTGCCTATGGATCCGGGACTTATGACCAGAGGTGGTGGGTGGGAGGGCACTAGATCTTAAACTCTTTGTCAGGAACAATTAACATACTTTCTACCCCTGCTTGCCTTGGATCCTTCTGTCCCAGTTCCAGTGGTCTAAGGCTGTGATAATTTTACTTCTGTGCTTGATAGGAGCTGAAGTTGGGGGAGGAGCTGTTACTGCTTTGAATGCCAGAGTGCCCGCTACATGGGGAAACAGAGGGCAAAGTCAGAACTTAGAATGTTTTCTCTTACCATCACCATGAGTCTGCTAGTGGGATTATGCCCACTGACTGGACATACAGCCTATCATTTTGTTGTTACAGAACAAATGTTGATTCTGGTGTGATGGGATATGGTCCGTATATCCTATATTGTCTTACTTTTCATAGATGTTACACACACACACACACACACACACACACACTCACACAACTGACAAACTAATGGATTTCCTTTGGATACTAACACAATCAGAAAACTGATTAGTAAGAACTTAGTAAGAACACTGAAGTTACTTTACTTGATATTTAAAACAGTAAGTCTGGCCCTTAAATTCATTGAAGAGAGTGAGTTTTTAAAATTTGTAAATTTTAATCTGTAAACATGTGGAACTAATGACATTTTTGGTTCATCACTTTTCATAGTGAAGGAAGCATCGGTTTAGATAGGAGTTCAGTTGTTTTTTAAAAAAGTTAATACAGTCTAGATTCTGATATTTTAACTTTGTCTTTAGTTTAAATCTTATAAATAAAAATTGTAACATAACGAAGCACAAAAAATTCTTTGTTTTGAGCAATTTCTACCCACAGAAACTTATCATCCAGCAATTTCGAATAACTTTGACCAGTTGAAACATAGTCATAAACCAAGAAGTCAGCAGTTAAAATTTCTGATTCACTGTAACAGTTTTTATCAGTTGAGGAACTGAAACCCATGTATTTTATTACTTTGGAAAAAGGCCTTCATTCAGAATTTGCTTAATTTTGCATCTGATCATAAACCTGAATTATCTGATTTCTTAGATTATAAATGGTTTAGAAGCTGTCGTTGAAGAAATTGAAGGCGACAAGAGACAGGCACAACAACACTGAAAGACTATCTAGTTTGTTAGAAAATAAAAGTAACTTTCTTCATAGTAAAATGCATCGTGTTATAGTGGTTATGAAGAAAAATTCAGATTATGGTCTATATATCCTAGCTCTACAGTCACGAAAACATATATGTTATGAGGGTCTTTTAAAATTGAATATTGTTTAAATAAAATTGGCTTTATAACTTAAAGGACTTTACTTCATACATTATCATCTGGAGAACATTGTACTTGAATTGTTCCCTGTGAACGATGTTAGTATATTTACCTGCTGTCCTGGAAAGCTGAGAGAAAACATAGCTTAACCTTGTGGTTCTCAAACTCTTACTGTGAGCTCAGATCCCTTATTCAAAAGAGATTCTGACTTAGAATCCTGGCAAGGAAGAGGTATTCTGGGTCCCCGCACCAGCTTGGTGCTCTTCCTACAATCCTCAGTGACCTCTTAGGAGGCTCGGAGAGTCCCTGGAGCTCTGCAGGTGCAAAGCCAGACTGGAGCAGGGCTTATTGATAAGGAAGGAGGCTTGTTGGGTGTGCTTAAACAACCGTAGCCCATCAGGGGTTGCCCACTGTGAGTAGAGTTGCTTTGTTTGTCTGCAGTGTAATCTACCAGGGGTTTTGTGGATAACAAGTAGACTGGAATCCACCCCAGTTTCCTTAGCATCACTGCAACTCTGACTGGCCACGTGACTCCAATGCCCCATGTATTTCCTGCAGGTGGTGCCACCTCAGTGATCTCTGCCCGGAGATGCGAAGGAAACAGGAGAGCAACCTCAATTTGCTTATGGGCATTGTGCTTGTGAAAATTTGCAAACTAGAATCTTGTTGCCCTGAGTGCTGCCGCCGCTTCTACCAGGGCCCCTCCTCGCTCTTCCCTCTCCCACCCTTTTCAGTAGTAGAGCTGAGACACTTTCCAGGATTGGGGCTAGATGCTTGAGTTTCCCTTATCCTTTGTTCTTTGCAAAATCAATTGATTGTCAAACTTATTTAATGTTCCAGACCATGTTCTTTCCTCAGGCAGAGGAGAGCCGTCTGCAAGCCGGTAACTAAACCTCAGTCAGCGGGTGTCTAGACTGCAAGTGGAGTTGCTGGAGGGTTCTGGGTGCCTCGTGGGAGGCAGATAGCTCTTTGCATACCCCATATTGAATGCGTGGAACTGTCTGGGAGGGAGCCGGCTGAAGCTGCGTTCCCGATACCACCCCTTCCAAGGGGGTGGTTTGCAGTCCTTCTAATCTTCTTTGGTAGCAGCAATACCTCAATTTTTGGCTCCCAAGTTATATCTCCGCAGGGAAAACCACACATCAGAAGAGGGCAGCTTGCCAGCAATCTATACTAGTACCTTTCCTAAGAATAAGGACTCAAGGCCTTTCACACTTGGATGATTTGATTCACTATTTCACAGATTAGCTTTGTTATATTAAGCTGCTTTCAGTGCTCAAGCCCCAGAGTTACTCATGCAGACCTACCTTCTAGCCTGTGCCTTGTGGGGAGGCCTGAACATTCATTCCTCCTTTGGATTTTACACGGCATGGGCAGGATCAAGATTCTCCCTGTTCCTCTTTCACCCTGCTGCTTGGGTTTGTTTTTGTTTTTTTGTTTGTTTGTTTGTTTTATTGTTAGAGGAGAGATACACCTCCAAAAGTATTTTTATTGGGCATTGAAACCAGTACTGACCATCCAAGAGGCCAAACTGTGTCATGTGGACAAGCATGAGCTCAGAACTAGCCTCCCCAGCTCTGCTGTGTCCTCATTACGAGACCTCATGCACGTCACTTACTGTGCCACAACTTTCTCACCCGTGAAATGGGAGTAAAAATACTACCAATTTCTTAGCTTTGTTGAAGGTTAAGTGAGTTACTATTTGTGAAGAGCTTCTGAGTGCCCGACTCACAGCGAGTCCGGCATTCGTGTTAGCTGCTCCTGCTGCTCTTATTACTCTTGATTGTTACTACCAGGTGGAAGAGTGAGGCTTGTCTTATTACTTTGCTGAAGATTTGGGGGAAGACCCAAGTAGCTTCGTAGAAATTCCTGCCTGGGTTGGAAGCCTAAAGTGATTATTGGCCCCTTGAGATGTCGGCTCTTGGCAGTAGGGAAGGAGTGCCTGTTTTGAGCTGAGACCTGATTCTGCATGTTGGTCCCGCTGCTTACCTACTGGCGTAAAAATGTAAAAAGACAAAAACAAACAAAAAACCATAAAAATGGAGGCGACTAATGCCTACGTTGTTAGGTTATAAAACTTAAGAACGACAGAGTAAAGAGCCTGGTTCATATTATATGCTCAGTATATAGCAGCTATTATAAGTATTCTATTTTGGAGAAAAAATAGCCGCCCTAAGTCATCGAGATACGGAGGTAGGAGGTGGGTCAAAAGACTAAAGTTTGCCCTATTTTCAAATGCTTAAGATGGTGTTTTAAATTTGCTTATGTTTGCTTTCATTATGTATACTCCCTTTAATGCCAGGGAGCTCTCCAGAGCAGCCTGTTAACGTTTCTTCTTGTATTTTGAATTGAATGTTGTAGAAATCGGCCCTGAGGAGGAAGTGTGCGGTCTGTAAAATCGTCGTCCACACCGCCTGCATTGAACAGCTAGAAAAGGTGAGACAGCGCCACCTGCTGCAGTGTTGGCTACATTGCAAGTGTTTGGGCTTCTAAGACAAGCTGTCACTTGCTATTTCCAACTTTTTCAAAACCGTGCCCTTTGAAAACACTGAAAGACCGACATCGTTACCAGACTAGCAATGGAAAACCAGTGTTCCAGGTTAATTCGTCCTATTGTTTGCTGAAGGATAATTCGGTATCATTTTATGTTGCCTCTTGGAAGGAGGAGTGGTAAGGTTAGAGAGAAAAACCTGGTACACGAGATTTTTTTTTTTTTTTTTAGAATGACAAACATTGTTGTTCACCCACAGAATTTTCCGCAAGATGTTTTTTTCCTTAAAGAAAAATCTTCTTTCTTTAAGCAAAAGAAAATCCATAGCTCCTTAAAATCATTATTTAGATTGGTCTGACCTTTTGAGTTTCTCCGTCCTAAAGTGGCTGCAAGGAAGAGAGCCAGGTCAGAAGGCAGCTCTCCTTTCTTCCTTGGGGGCAGCGTTCTGCTTGCACAGCACAAATGTGTGGGTGGGCTGCAGGTGACATCCTCGTGGTGTCTTGCCTCCAGAAGAAGTAGATTCTGCAGAGTCCATGGATCAGTCACTTGCAGGAAAGCAGAGGCTCCAGCCGTGAATGTGTCGTCTGCCGCCTTCTCTTTCTTGCTTCTCCTGTCTTTCCACGCGTGAGTCCCTGTGTTATCCGTGTTCTTGAGCTGCCATGTGTGAATGTGTTGAAATGTTTTCATTCCCTGCCACGTACATTATTTTCATGAACACATTACCGATTGTTGCCAACTGCTATTTTGTAGGGATGGCTACTAACATTATATATACATTTCTTTTTGCTGTTCCAATCCCACTTACTGATGTCCTCTTTCATTTCTGTACTCCTTTCACCTTATCAAGTAACTAAAGAAGATGGGCATGTTACCGGGAGACCCGCCTATCTAAAAGAAAGGCAGTACTGAAGACTTAAAGAAGAATTTCAGTGTGTGAATCGTCATCATCATATTAAATATTTCTCAAGTTTATGTTGTCCTACTTTTTAAAATCTGAAACGTAGCTGGGTGGTTTCAGCTGCCTTACATACTTTCTCTTACTCTTTATCTCTTTTTCTCAAATTTACAGTGTGAGAGGAATATTGTTTAGAGATATGTTGATTTCATCAATGAGAATGAAGAGACTTGGATTGGAGATAGAGGATCACCTGGGGTCTCTATAGATTGTCTAGGGTGATGATTGGAAGTGTTATACTGTGTTCCTTATCCTTTGGGTTGTTTTGTAGTCTTCATATATGTCACTGTTGCTTTGTTCAGGTAAGTCAATCTAGTCCGGTGCTTATCCCTAATGTAATACACTTTTCTTTTTAAATGACAGATTAATTTCAGATGTAAGCCAACATTTCGAGAAGGGGGCTCCAGATCACCAAGAGAAGTGAGTGTTTCAGAACTTGGCTTCAAATACCTTTATTTCCCATTGTTGCACTGGGCTAACAGACTTTCACCAGGGATTAAACACTGAAGTCTAGCTCCCTCCAAGCCACATCGGTTTCTTGTTAATACATCAATAAATACCATGAGTAAAATCTCCCAGTCTCTTCAGCACGTGTGTACTGCCCTTTACTATTCTAATGAAATGCACTGGGGAGCTAAGGTCCTAAAGAGCAGGTAGGGAGGCAGTGGTAGAATTGAAGAGGTAAGAAGTAAATAGCACTTTATTGTCTTATGGTCCATCTTGACTCCATTTTTCAATTTTGAGTGGATAGAAACTATTCAGGGGGCAGCATAGTTCCCGAGTATTCCCATAGACACTGGAGCCGATTGGTTTCCATACCTGTCTGGATGCTGTGTGATTTGAGGCATCTTACCTCATCTTTCTGAATTGCAGTGTTTTTATCTGCTAAGTCAGTTGGTAGCTAGGTAGATGGAAGAACTACATTCAGTGCTCAGTCCTTGACCTCACGGCCCAGTCGTGAAGACGAACAAGTAAACAGGAAATCATGGCGAAGAGCAGTTGCTCTGTTAGTGGTAAACAGTGGGGGGGACAGGAGGAGAGCTGCGCTTAGTCAGATGGGTTCGTTTAGCTCTTTTTCGAGGAAATGGAGCACATATGGAAAAGTTAGAGAAGGTGAGGTTGTTGGTTGAGGGTCTCAGCGCTCCTGTGTTATCCTGGATAGTCTAGCTCCAGGTCCCAGATGGCACTCTTCAGTTGGCAAAACAAAAGGCTGCAATGAACAGACCCCATCCGTCTTAGAACACAGTTTAGCTGCCCAGGTGTTACCATTGTGTATGGTGCGCTCCCTAAGAGAAAGTGTGGTGTCATTTTTGTGAAATATACGTTCTCCATTTCATTTACATTCCCAGGGAGATTATTTTCAGTTCCACATATAGATTTAGCTCCTTGGAAACCTTCCCAGCTGGTACACTCCTCAGACTAGCTCTGTGCACTGATGAATAGGCGAGAGAGGTAGGGTACCAGAGAAGGGGCTTCCTGGAGGAGGTGGCAAGTAAACTGAGACCCAGAGGAGTTATCTAAGTGAAGGTGTGTTTCGGGGGGACAGTAGTCAGGAGGTGACAGTCTCCTAGACAGAAAAAGCACATGCTCCCAAGCGCAAAAATGAGAGAGAACATAACAAATACGTGAAATCCAAGCGATAAGCAGGGGCTAGGCCATGAAGGTCCTTGTAAGCCATGTTACAAGCTGAGTGTTTTATCATCATGGTAATTGGGGGGGGGGCAATAACTATTTTTTAAAAATTTATTTATTTGAGGGAGAGAGAGAAAAAGAAGGGTAGGGATAGGGGCAGAAGAAGAAGAAGAGAGAATCTCAAGCAGACTCCCTGCTGATGCGGGGCTCTACCTCACGACCCCCGAGATCATGACCTGAGCCAAATCAAGAGTTGGATGCCCAACCGACTGAGCTACCCAGGTGCCCTGGAGTATTAAACTATTTTAAGTAGAATATGTTATTCTGGCTACAATGTGGAGGAAATACCATATAGTTCAAGAGCAGCCATATTGGAGGCATGGAGAGAATTTAAGGGCTTCTTCTAGGGCAGATCTGAACTATGAGTAATATTGAGGGTGGAGATAACTGGTACATATGAATTTGAAGGCAATAAAATTGACAGAATGTAATAATTGATTGGATGCTGGACACAAAGATGGAGGAGCCCAGAGTTAAACCAGACTTCTGCCCTGGAAAACTGATGAGATGTTAGAGAATGAGTTGATTTGAGAATGGGGTGGGGAGGTAAGCTGATGAGTTTAGTTGTAGAATTTTCAAGTGTGTGGTGTCCTTGAGGCCTCAGTTGGAGATGCCCAGTAGAAAGCTGAGTGCGTATGTGAGTTTGGAGCTTATGAAGAAGATTGGGTTAGAGGGAAGACATTTGGGAATCATCAGCACATATATAGGTAGTTAGTAAAGCTATGAGAATAGATGAATGTGTAGAAAAGGAATAGAGAAGTTGTGTCAGGACAGAGAGGGTCACTGACGTTTTAATGACAATGAAGAACACACTGTGAAAAAAGAATGATCTCATTGTTACCAATACAAGATTAGGAGAAAACGTGGAAGGAGGGTAGTTTGGGAGTGGACATTGTGGAGAGAGGAAAAATAGTTGCCCCCGTCACTTGTCTTCTCCCACTGCGTTTGGCCATTATGTCAACAATAGGAAGGTGATGGGCCATACATAGGGTGAGGAAAGTGCAGGAAAAATGATAGGCTTGTGGGCACCCTCAGTGCCGCCCAAGTGCACAACAGCATTGGCCAGAAGATAACTCAGAGCCCTAATGAAGGAGAAAATAGAAAGAATCGTTTTGTGTTTTTAAGATGAACTGAGTGAATTTCCACCTGGGGATCCATATGTCCACGTTTAGCTCCCTGTCCTTTAATTTCTCTTTCTAGAGAGAGAGATAGTTGTGATTGTGTGGGCCATTTTCTAATGCAAAGGGTTATATATTTTTTTCAGTTTTTAGTAGCAGTATCCCTTCTCTTCTGTGAAGCCAGACCCTCCTCCACAAGTATTTTGAACACCTGCTCTTGTCTTTGCAACAAGAACTTGATAATTTCTTCCATTCTTACATCTTCAACTCTCCACCCCTCCTCTAGATTATTTCCATCACCATAAACGTGCTCTGACATCTTCCCTCTTAAAAGATAAACAAACAAAAATATTTCTTAGGCGCCAACTGTGTCTTAACTGCTGTTCAAGTCTCAGTTTTGCATTCATTGCTAAACTTCCACAAAGTGTTGTCTCTATCACTGTTTTTAGTATATCACCTCCCCGTCATTTTCACCTGTCCTCATCTGGTTTCTACTCTGTCCATTCACTGAAATTGCTTTTTTCAATGTTGCCAAAATCTCCCAGATACCAAACCCATTAGATATTTTTCTGTTCTTATTTAATCTTTCAAATATATTCAAATTATCCAAGGTTCCACCCTTCTTAACTATCTCTCCTGTCATGACATCTTTCCTAATTTTCCTCTTATTTTTTTTTTTTTTTAGAGAGTCCTTCCCACTCTCTTTCATCATTCACTCCCCCTGATTCGTACAGAATCCTCTGAGCTTGGTACTTGGTCATATTCTCTCTCTGTCCACTCTTGTTGGGAGAGCTCATCCAATTTCATAGCTTTAAAAATCACGTCCGAGCTGATAACTGCTAACTTCATAGTTCCGGTCCACACTTCTTGGCGTTCCATTTGACATGTCCCATGAATGCATCATGATCATCTCAAACCGAACACGTTAAAATTAAACTTGTTATGAACATCACCATGAAAACTTTTTTTTTTTTCAATTCTTTTGCATCTCAGAAAATGAGATGACTCTTGATCCAGGTCCTCAGTCAAAAAGACTGGGGGATCATCGATTCCCTCTCTCATGTATTCCACACATCTAATTCATTTGCCAGCCTATCAATTTTATTTATGAAATATATTTCAAATCACCTGCTCATCTCCATTTCTGTTGTCAAACAAGCACCCTAGACTAAGACACCATGATCTCTTTTGACTATGGCAGTAGCTTCTTTATGATTCCTTAATTTTCCCCTTTTAATCCGTCAGGATTTAAGAGGGTGATTTTTAAAACAGAAATCAGATCCTATAATTTTTCATCCTAAAATGTTCCATTAGTTTTCATAGCACTTAGCGTAAAACCCAACTCTTTGTCATGGCATGAAAAGCCCTGCATAGTCTTGCCCAAGCCTAGCTCTCCAGACCCATCCAGCTGCCGCATGGACTTTCTTTCAGTCCTTGAGGCATGCATCCAGGTATCCCCCCACGTTCAGACATTTATGTAGTTCACTGTTGTACTAGAAACCTCTTCATGGCTAACTGTTTCTTAGAGTTAGGCCTCGGCTCATATATCATCCCCTCCAAGGTCTACCTTGATGACTTCCTCTGAGTAGGTTACACATTGTTCTTTATCAAAGCACCTTGTTCTGCCCCTTCAGAGCACTTTGTATGCCATAATTATTTACGGGTATTACTCATTTGCTCATTTGTTGTCCCCCTGAAGTGTAAGCTTTGGGAGGTCACTCATGGAATTTGTCCCAAACTCACTGTACCAAGACATAGAGGATGTGATCTGTTGACTGTCTGTTGACTGAAAGCAATTATACAGGAGTTAATTTCTCCCCCAATGCCTAAGAACTCTTGTTCTAAGAGGACAGTCTGAAGATGAAACTTAAGGAAGGCTATGACTCACTTGAGATTCTTAATGAAGAGACCTTCCGTAGTTTACTGAATGTCAGTGAAAGAACAGTCACCTTAGAAATAATTTGGCTGGGTTCAAATCATACCTCTGCGCTTTTCCACTTTCTGGTATCTCCAGTGCAGGGATCTAGAGCAGGGATTGTTGATCGCTGTACCTTGTGCTTTGTGGAATGTCTGACATGTGGAAGTTTGTTAATGAACATTGGTAGGACTCCTCCAGGTGGAATATTTCTGGACCTCGGTTTTCCAAGACATAAGCTCTGTAGATTAGGTTATAATTTCAAGATTCTTTCATGCACTTTATGAGTAATATTAGGAATTGAATTTGCCGTTTGAAAGTAAGTGAGCAAGTGTGTTATGTATTTCTGCTAACAATACTGAGTATAAACCCTGAAATAATGTATCACTGAGATTTTAACACCCATAAGTAATAGCCCTTTCCTTGCCCAGTACTTGAAGATAGTATATGAATAATTCAGAGATTATTGATGAACAATAAAAAGATGTCATGGTGTTAGAAGCCTTGCTTTGCTATCTTAACAGCAGTGTGTCAACACTCACATTTGCAGTGTAAGGATCTCGAGGCTAATTTCAGCTCCATAATTTAGGAGATGTGAATAATAGTCAAAAGGAAAGAGTGTGAAAAATGAAAGTGCTTGGGAGTAAGGATCAGAAAACAGCAGTGATTCCGTAGAAATTGGGTTCTTCCCCCTGATTGATGTGGCAACTGATGTTCCTCCAAAGTGACACCTACCTGAGTTGATCATCAAAAAAATTAGGTTCAGAATTCCATTCCACTCAACACACATTTATTGGATGTTTGTTCAAACTGTTAAAGCAGTGATAGAAAGAATTTCTATTAGGCCTAAGAAGATCTTTTCACAGAAGGATGCCTGACCTCTCAAATCAGATCTCCATATGGGAGGCAGTTGCTCAGTTTCTTCTCAAGGAGTGCTTTTGTTTCACTTTCTCTGTGCCTAATTTGTGACCCAATTTCTAGGAAGAATGATATTAAAAATATTTAACAACTTCCTGAGTCATATAGTAATATTTAAATAAACAATTTAAAAGTGTTCCCTTCAATTCCCTGAACAGATTAAACTACATGGTATTATAAATCTGCTTACCAAGTGACACATATTGCAACATTAATGATTCATTAAGTCAGTCTTATAATTTCTAAATAATTGTTGATTTCTGGAAATTGTTGGCTTAATCTTTTGATTAGAGCTGTCACTAGCTAAATAACCCTATGAGTCAGCCCTGATTTCATAGGCAATTGCATCAAATTCTTCCAACATTTCCCTCCTTCAATTGATAGTCATTAGGTGATTTATAATCTCCATAAGCAGATAATTTCCCTTATCATCAGTGACATTGTTCATGTTCCCACAGTTTTTGCTAAACTAACAGCAATTACAGTAAATTTTTCTCTCTTATAGTATTGTCTGACATTTTTGTATATTCAATTTTCTACTACTGACTGTCATTGAAATCATTTCCTGAAGGAGCTTTATCCCGAGCTTTCACTGCAGAGGAAAGGCATAGTGACACAGGGGTTCAGAGTGTAGGCTCCGTTGCCAGCCTGCCTGGCTTTGAATCCTTGCTCTGGCCCTTATATCAGAAGTCACCGCTCAATACCTTAGTTTTATGATCTCTAAAAGGAGGATGATAATGATAATTCAAGCAAAACCCTCTGATAATGTGCCCTAAAACATTGTGAATTGAGATATGGTATAGTTGGCAGCCGGCCCGGTCCTCCCCAGCCCTGTTCTTTTTCTTTTATTATTATTGTTAACACATAGTGTGGAGCGCCTGGGTGGCTCAGTCATGAAGCATCTGCCTTCCGCTCAGGTCATGATCCCAGGGTCCTGGGATTGAGCCCCACATCGGGCTCCCGGCTCGGCAAGAGGCCTGCTTCTCCCTCTCCCACTCTCCCTGCTAGTGTTCCCTCTCTCACTGTGTCTCTCTCTGTCAAATAAATAAATAAAAATCTTAAAAAAAAAACCACAATGCATTATTTGTATTTGTTTCAGGGGTACAGGTCTATGATTCAGTTTAACACAATTCACAGTGCTCAACCACAACACATACCCTCCCCAATGTCCATCACCCAGCCACCCCATCCCTCCCACCCCCCTCCACTCCAGCAGCCCTCAGTTTGTTTCCTGAGACTAAGAGTCTCTTACGGTTTGTCTCCCTCTCTGGTTTCGTCTTGTTTCATTTTTCCCTCCCTTCCCCTATGGTCCGCTGCCTTGTTTCTCAAATTCCACATATCAGTGAGATCATATGATACTTGTCTTTCTCTGATTGACTTATTTCACTTAGCATAATACCCTCTAGTTCCATTCTTAAGCCAGCAGTGGGCTAGAGTTCTCATCACCTGAGTGGATGGAAGGCTGAAGTGATCAGCCTCACCTGTGAGGTACAGAGGCACAGGGTCCAGCAACTTTATCCCCAGGAGGTGGTGTGGACCCTGATAACTGGGCAGATTCCTGACTTGCTGCCACTGTTCTGAGAGCCACAGCTGGCCATGGGACACAGCATTGTTTGTATGATATTTAAACTTACTCGAACAACAACCACCAGTTGGGCACAGCCCAATCTTCTGAGTATGCTGGGCCAGGGGGATCCCAGTGGCATTGCTCAGGCAACGTGATTTGTTTCTGAAAGAGAGCTCATTGGAACAGAATCCCAGGGACCTGCCAAAAATGAACATTTTAGTTGCTTAATAATGAGGGGATAGAAATGATTTCCAATGTTGAGGGGGTGGGGTGAGGTGGGGTGCTATGGTAGTTAGGGAGGAGCCAGGGGGATCGTAGGGGAACTAAACTAATTTATCAACCAGTATAGAAATATTTCAGTATTTTAACAACTCATGGGATTTTTCTGGTACATACTGGCTGAATAGCACCTCTACTCATAAAAATTCTCATGGAAAATTAAAAATAATTATTACATTTAAAGCATTCTTAAAAGTGCCTGATACACAGTGAGTACTCAAAAATATTATTATTAGCTTCTTTCTGAGAACAATATAAGAATTGTGTCCTTGTTTTATTAAACTGCCTCAGTGGGAAAAGCAAGACAAAATTTAGACTAATTAGTGGGACTGTTATGCTTCTTTATTTCTTATTATAGTTAAAAGACCATTATTCCTCCAGGATCTCTGTTTAGTTTTAACTTGAATTGATTTGACATTATAAGGAGAAATGGAGGTAGCATTTTAGATAATGCTCATGTTAGAGGTATTTTCGTCACTCTGAATTTCATGTGTCGATAGAGCATTTTTTTTTTCCTCAATGTTGATCTATTTCCTGTATACCTGTATACCTACAACAGGGCCTGGCAGGTAGTAGGCATCTAGTAAGTATCTGCTGAATGACTGGCTATATATTAAAGGACCTTTTAAAGGGAAATATGGGTTGTGGCCTGATGATAGACACATTAGTGTCAGGTAAGATGTGTTTTCTCAGAAAAGGGCAAGAGAAAAAAAGAGGAAATATTTTTTGTATATTTGTCTAAGAAGGATGAGTTGTATGTAAGTTTATTTGTGCCATTGGGCCTGAAGACAACTTTCTCTCTCTAATATATCCTAAGAGCAGTGGTAATGGGGCTCCTTAACTCCCCGCCCGAGGATTGATTGTCTATTTGGGAGGAAAAGGAAGTTCTGTGTTTCCTATGGCCCAAGACCAGAATAGACTTTGAAAGCGGATCTAGTTTCTAGAACCCAAGGACAGTTTAAACACAATGTCATTGTACGAACATCACGATGGGCCCGCATTTCTTGCCTCTGTCATCTTTCTCCTTCAGCTCTTCTTTCCCTTCACTTTTCGCTAATGAAAGATCCTCACCCTGTATGTCCTGAATGAGGAGATCTGTTTCTTTCTGAGAACTTAATTTCTTGAAGTTCTTTCTAGTGCAGATGTTTGGTGTCTGGCGTATATAAAGCATTAAATACATATTTGTTTTTAAAAATGGATATTGTTGCTCCATCTTGATCTCCCTCACCTTTTTACCTCTCTGAGGGGATTTCAGTGACCTCCCACATCCGCACAGTGTTCTACTAGGAAGGAAGCAGAGAAATGGCGTTATGGTGTGGCCATGAGGAAGACGTGGAGGGAGGACACAATGAACGGCTTCCACAAATACCAAAGATCACTGGGCATGGGAGTAGCTTCAGTTTTCCAAGCAGATTCATGTTTATTGTTAAACAAATCACTCAGACACGTATTTGGTTTTGTGCTAATAGGGGCTTAGATTATGGTTTATGGAAATCTATATGCTTAAAACATTAAAAAAAACTAATAATGGGATTGACAAATTTAAACATACTCATTTAATTTTGTTTTCCCACAGAACTTTGTGCGTCATCACTGGGTACACAGGCGTCGACAGGAGGGAAAATGTAAGCAGTGTGGTAAGGTAAGGGGCCCGGCAGCCCATGGCCATCGCGGGAGGCTCCCCAGGCCTTTGCAAGCACCCAAGGTAGATGAGTCCTCTCACCCGAATCCAGCGCTCAGCACGTCTCTCCCTTTCTGAAAGGCCTTATTTCTCCAGGCCCCTTTCCTCAGGAGGTGTTTTAGCTGTCGTAGAACTCACTGCGAGAGGCAGGGGTCTTAATCCAGGTATGAGCACATTTTAAGAGAGATGGCTACACTGTTTTGGTGAATTTCATTGTCGTTGGTTAAAAAAAGAACACTGCTTATTTTGCTAAAACCCCTTCCAGAGGACTACTGGCCGGTCACACTCCTGGCTCAGCAGCAGCAAATTCGTGGGTTGTTGAGCAGCTCGGCTTCTGTTGACACACTATTGTGGTTGAGCAGAACTCAGCAGAGAAAGGACAACACAGAAGCAAGAAATGTGTTGCTCTCTTAGGACACTATCCCATTCCTGGAAAAAGATGGCCTCCTCATTTTGTGGCTGTTTATGTCTACTCTCTCTCTCAGTGTGACCGGTTGGTAAAAGTCCTCTTGGAGTGCAGGGCCACTGAGAAAAGGAAGGTGGGGGAAAGGGTGGGTCCTCAGGCCACATGCTATGAAACCCCATAGATTCTACATGTTACTGACATGGTATTGATTTGGGTTATGGCTTTTTTCTTTGTACAAAGACCTACTTTAGGGATATAAGGACCCTGTGGGAAGGTTAAACTGATGGTGAATCACACTACAAAGATTTTTTTTTTTTAATTGAGAGTAAGCTGGGCTCAGTAAAGGGAAGTTTTGATTGGGTAAAGCAAGACAATTTGGAAGAATATATTCCTCATAAGTTAATTGACTTTTTGGATCAAGCACTGGGATGAGCTGACCAGCGTAGCATTTTTGACAATAGAGAGATGCAAGGAAATATTGGCTATCTGAGGAGTGTTGAGGGTGAGTGAGACTTAGAAAAGGTTTCATGAATTTTGCTGTTTTGACCAGTGCTGGAAAGAAAATATCATGTTGTAGCATCAGTTACCAAGTTTTTCTTTGGAAGGCTACCTATCTCTGCTTCAAGGGAATGGCCTTCCATTATAACTGGTATTATCTCCTCAGTTCACAGTGACCTTTAGTTGGTTCCTTTCTAGCCTGTAAAGAGGACCGATGAAACAGGTTGAAAGGGGAAGGAGGTAAAAGGAAGATGAGGAGAAGGAGGAAGGAGGAAGGGGGAGTGGAACAATTCTTACTAGCATTTTACATGGTGAGGGAGAAGGAAGTCAGCGTCTTATGTGGTCTTCCTTCATTGGGTCCATCTACCCTACTCTTTCTGGTGTTGCCTTGGGGCTTGTGGTCTTTCTCTTACTTAGTAGATTGTAGACTCTCTTCAACTCTCCCGAGAGAGAGAGAGAGAGAGAGAGAGAGAGAGAGAGAGAGAGAGAGAGTGTGTGTGTGTGTGTGTGTGTGTGTGTGTGTGTGTGTGATAGAAGAAACAGGTATTTAGGCACATCTAGCTTTGAGGTTAGAGATGGGAAGGGTAGGAAGGATCTGGACAAACAAGCTCTTTGCCTTGCAAACATATCTTCACTGGGCAGCCTAGTAGCTGACGCTCCCTCAGTAACTTTTTTTTTTTTTAAAGATTTTATTTATTTGAGAGAGAGAGAAACGGCATGAGACGGGAGAGGATCAGAGGGAGAAGCAGGCTCCCCGCTGAGCTGGGAGCCCGATGCGGTACTCGATCCCAGGACTCTGGGATCATGACCTGAGCTGAAAGCAGTCGGCTTAACCAACTGAGCCACCCAGGCGCCCACCCCCAGTAACTTTTAAGCCATAATAGAGTTGGAGGAATTTTATTAAAAGAAAATCAATAAACATATTTTGTGACAGGTATCCCCTAGTGTCACATTATGCTCCCTTTTTTGGCCTTGTCTTCTGTTGGCAAGGTCAACCAAATGGGGGAAAACTGGACTGTTTGTACCCTGAGTTGCTGTGACCATGTCTCCTTTGCTTCCTCTGTTCTCAGGCAGCAATCTTGGCATGCTCACAGCTCTCTGCACATCATAGCTATTAGCTGAGAAGTCAGTGATTCCCAACTTTTCACATAATGTTCCCATAATAATGTATTACTATATTCATCCCCTGTGTATAATCCAGCTGCTCACAGCTTCTCAGAGACTCAGGCAGTTATGGGGTGGGATGGTCTTAGACCTGTGTCTCTTGCTGGACAGTAAATAATCCTTCTTTGGATCCTGGCTTGTACTCTGGATTAGAGGAAAGCTAGTGGCTCTATTTCCATTTTATAGATTAAGGCATTGGAAATTCATTTCAAACTTTGCTGCTATGCTTAATTTTCATAAGTAGGGTTGTACATTCTTACATATTCAGGGACTCTAAACCATCACACACCCTCCAACACACACATACACACATATCCTATATACATTATTCGTAATTTACCCATTGGGATGGGGTGAAAAACAATCACTTCACTTAACAAAACTTTTTTTTTCCCAACTGCTGGTTTGCAAACTTTTGGGGTTGTTAGGGAGTGTTTATAGTTAAAGATGTTGTGGTTTCAAGTTCTACTTTTAAAAATCAGAATAAAGTAAATATTTGGACTGAATTTCTCTTGAGCCTTGAATATGTGTTTGGCTAAGTGTGTGTGGCACTTGAAAGATATCAGATGAGAGAGCTCGTGATTCAACTGCTCAGTTGCTTTAACATTTGCTGACTACCATGAGCTGCCATGTTTATGAACATTATATAATTTCACATTGTTTTCATTCATAGTCTTGTATTACATAAGAGTTAGGGTTTAGGCAGAAAAGAGGTAGCATACTCAAACTTAAATCATGTATTTGATGAGTGTTTAATAGAGAGAAGATTTAAAATGTGTGAGCAGAGTATGGAGAAACTACAAGGGTTAGTGAAGAACTCAGCAGGAGCCATGGCCAAGTCAAGTCTGAAGAGGTGAGGGGGGAGATGGAGAGAGCCCCTTCACAGGAGCTGTAACTTTTAGTCACAAGGCCAGCCCAGGTGACCTACCGGCTGGGGGAATAAATACCCCAACTTCACTTACCTTCAGTATCTCCAGTGGCCAAATCTAGCAGAAACCAGACCACAAGGGGCATTGCTGAGGCAACCCATGAAAGTCAACTTTTTACAATGAGATGTGGGATAAAGAAAGAGAGTGGATTTGGAGAGGCAGTGGGATTGATCTAGCACATATTGTTTAACATAAAGCTATATTCAGTCAGTGATTAAAGGAAGGATGTGTACTTATTCCGCAAACCTATCTCTTACTGATCTGCACCACATCTACACATTCATTCAGTCAAAATTCACTCAACATTGAGTTATCCACAGTACTTTAAAAAAATCAATATGCAAAGAAAAAATCTACTCATGATTCTGGCTAATTTGACCTTTCATTTTTGAAGGAACCAAGCCTCCAAACCCAGCTGTATGGTAATTGTGAAAATATGCTTGTAAATCATAATTTGAGCCCTTATCTTTTATTTCTTCATTTGGAAACACATGTAAGAGTCCTAAAAATAGATGAGCTGGCTTTTTGAAACTCAGAATTATAAACTTTCAAACACCAAATCTTGAAAGCAGTTTTTAATACAACAATACGTAGTTAAACTTTGGTCTGCATTTTTGGTACCTTCCAGTTCTCTAACCAAACATGCTACATCATTTTGAATTATTTGTCTGTAGATCATATATGCAATTATATATAGTTTAAACTAAAGAGCGTAGCACTAATTAAATGGGAAAATGTCAAAATTCTTTTTTTAAAATTTTATTTATTTTTATTTGACACAAAGACAGAGATAGAGAGAGAGAGAGCACAAGCATGGGAAGCGGCAGACAGGCAGAGGGAGAGGGAGAAGCAGGCTTCCCGCTGAGCAAGGAGTCCGATGTGGGACTCGATCCCAGGATTCTGGGATCATGACCTGAGCCGAAGGCAGACACTTAACGACTGAGCCCCCCAGGCACCCCAAAACTACTCTTTACTATAAAGAATATTATTAACAACTAATTTAAAGTGAATTTATGGTATAATGTCTAAAATATATATATTTAAAGGAAGTATATTTAATAGCAGTTTTTTTATTGCCAAAAGAATAAAAATAAAAGTTTTTTTTTATTGCTAAAAACCAATAAAGTGGTTAAAAACATTCCATGGGGTATGGTTGAGATATTCTATGAACAGTGAAAAGGGATTAGAGAAAAATAATGGAGGTAAAATGAAAATAATGGAGAATACTGACCTGGGATTATGAGACATGTTCCCTCACCACCTTAAAGCACCATTCTCCACTAATCTGAAAATGTGTGTGCCCTGGGGTCAGCTGTCAAGAGACCCTGCAAGGTTAGGAGCAAGGAATGGAAGTTCAAGAGTGAGGATCTATGCACTGGTTAGGCAGGTTTAGTTATTTGCCTGTGTGTTTGCTATAACAGGGGAATCTTCTGCCTTTAACCTCAAGAGGATCAGTGAGGAGGTGTAGAGTGGGTAACACAACCAGGGCAAAGACATCAAGCCTCTCCAGTAAGCCTCTGCCAACATAGCTCCTGGGAGCCCGGCTTTCCTTTCTGTCCTTGGCTGAGTATCAAGAAAGGAGACAAGGGCAGTCAGTATTCTGCTCTCTGCTTCTATGCATTTGACTGTTTTTGATTCCTCATGTAAGTGGTATCATATAGTATTTGTCTTTCTGTGTCTGGCTTATTCACTGATCATAATGCCCTTCAGATTCATCCAAGGAAGGGGAAACGGGGAAGTAATAGTCAAAGGGTACAGAGTTTCAGTTGGGTAGGATGAATGAAACCTTGAGATCTGTACAACAGAGTGCCTGTAGTGAACAACACTGTATTGTAGACTTAAAATGTTGCTGGGGGGGGTAGATATTATGTTAAAGGTTCTTATCACAAAAAACAACTAATGAGGGCAGGAGGAAACGCTTGAAAGTGATGGACGAATTTATGGCATAGATTATGGTGATGGCT